TAAGGAGGGCGTTGGCCGTCTTGCCGACTCCAATGATTTATATATTTGGCCTCACTCGGGTATGGGTTCTGATTCATCTTGTCTCAGGGGATGTTCCCCAGGGTTACAGACTTGTGGCTCTGTATCCGTACCACTTGATTCGCTGTCTTCAAAGGGTTCTTCATCTGAGTCTGAATCCCAACCCGCACCTGGATGGTTGTAGGGGTCCCCAGGTAAATTGTGTTCAGCCATAGGTTCTGTATTAGAAGTAAGGTTAGTAAAATACTCTTTGTAGTATTTTAATCTTTGTGTTCTGTTCTATAGTTCTTCTGAATATGTATGGTAAGTTTTAGACATGTCGCAACACTACTATCACTCCCAAACACATGTTGGTCATATCTCAAATCAATATAGTTGATCAGGCTATATTAATTTCAGATATGATTACATAACTGTCCAGGTTTGACTATAGTGTTCAACATCCAAATACTTTTAAGTTCTTATGACTGTAATATTGTACTTGTAGGTATGAGTGTTAGTATACTTCTTGTAAAAATACTTAGAATTTTTAAAAAGTATACTTATAGTCAGAGCTCTTAGCCCTGATGTATTTATAGTTTGTATATCTTTTATGGATTGATATACTGAGTTCACTATAAACAATGCTCTGATACCAATCAGTCACACCCCTAAACCAGACGGCGGAAACGTCCGGGGGTGGAGGACTTCATTTGTAGTATCACAACACATGCATCATAGTAATCAAAGTACAAACAACCATTGTATTTAGAATGTATAAGTATTTACATATGTTTAATCATTGTATATTGAACCCAAAATAGTTATACAAAAGAAGAAGATATGACTCAAAGTAGCTCCATCTTCTCAAAAAGTTCGGGGAGTACTTGTTTATTGTTTCCCTGAGAATACAAGTAATTTGAAAAGGGAGTATCAACATAAAGTTGAGTGAGTGCATAAGTATTTATGTTTGAAAGGGTTTCTCTGTATCTTGTATATGTAAACTGTTCCAGAAAATCCTATATTTTCTGTTGTATATGAAAAGTAGTTTTATTCCCATAAAACCGTTCTATTTGTAGATCAATGTTTTTGTATTTGTATTCCTTTATGTAACACTTGTAACTGAGAGTGTGCCTGGTTTCACCAGCTGTTATTGAAAACTGTATTGTACTTTTGTAGTTTGTATTCTGTAAACTGGTACTTTGAAGGGTACTTATGTTTAGTTGATTATACACTAACGTATTGTTAATATCTTTTTAATGAGTTATTATAACCATACTAAGACATGATGGCCTGAAACAAACGCTTTGTGGGCGTTTAAACTGTTGATAACAATTGTCACTCATTGGCGTGTATGCCTGACTGTAGCTAGCAGCCTGAGTGCGGGGTTGTCAATCCTGATATAGATCTACACACAACTTGTTTCGATCCCCTGACTGGGGACTCTGGTTATAATATCAGGACTTTACCTTGGTTGTTTAAATGAATTAAACAACCTGAATTGAATGACTCATAAAAAGCATATAAACGTTACATGTATATTAGTTATGAAAACCCAATCATTCTGAAATAAATGATTGACAGTATGTCCTTGAATTAGTATTCTTAACATGTATATGAAAATTGTATATCCCTTGATTTGTTTTGAATCAAACCTTTGTTTCTTGTAAAACTGTGTATCCTAGTATACTTGAATCATGTATTATTGCTCTATGTATCATAAATTATACCTATTATAATTTATATGTACTTTTTGAATTGGTATTTGATTGTGTTTGAATGTAATCCCTTGCTCAACATGTTACAAAGGGTATTTAAACTAGATGAAATAACTTTTATATTTATATACATATACAATTATATATAAGTAAAATTTAAATGACATTCGGACAAATAACCGGTACTATAAGCCCACATCCAAACAAGGAAAAGGACCCATAATGAGTTATTAGTCCTAAGTCTTTTAAATCTTATTTATATAAATATATATATATATATATATATATATATATATATATACAAATATGAATTTTGGGGAAAAATATAAGTTTACAAAAGAGTTTAATGTTTTTAGAATATTTTGATGATTTAATGTCGTTTTATCATGATTTTATAACACAAAGTTGTTGTGTTATATTTGTATCCCCCCCCCCCCCTAAAACAATATAAATTATGAAAATACGGGGGTATGAACTCACTTGATAGGTGGTGATTTGGACAGTGTTTCGTTTCCTGGAAAGGAATTTATTTGACGAAAAACCGGCTTAAATCGAGCAGAGTTTCGACTGGAGAAAGTTGTTTTTCTCGGGAATCTCGGGGCTTCGAGGCTTGCTTAGGGTTTTAGACTTGATACCGGGGCTTTGGGGGTTGTATGTAAGTTTGTGGAAGTGAAAGGAGTGAAAAGAAATGGAAAATGGGGTGAAAAGTGTAAAAAATCGGAAGAGTCTCGCATGCCTTATATAGGCTGAAGCCTTGGATCCGAAGCTGGGAGAAGCTGTCGCGTGTTCGGACAGGTGGCGAGGGAAGAGGGCTCGCTTCGGACAGCTGGCTCGGTGTGTCGGATCAGGAGTGGATCGAACTTCGGTCCAATCAGAAGGTGCCACGAACAACTTCGGTCCAATCAGAAGGTGCCACAAGGCAGACGCGGAGAAGCCTCGCATGCGAGGGTGACGTGGCCGAAGGTACACCATGCGAATTTTCCCGGTTTTCAACATTTCTCAATTTTTGTGCCCAAAACTTGCGAAATTCATAACTTTCGCATACGAGCTCTGTTTTCGACGTTCTTTATATGCACGCGTAGGTAAAATTATACTCTACGACTTTCGTTTAGACTTCGTCGGCTAATCCCAGGACCTCTCGGGCTATACATAGCCCCGCCAATGATAGTAAATATAACAAATGAGTTACTGAAAATCACCCGAAACAAAAGTAGACTGAGAAACGTTACCGGCGTGATCTAGATGAACTTCCACCTCTCGGAGCACCTACATACCATACCAATAACCCCTACTTAGATCGTATTTCAAAGCTTTATTTGATAATACTTATTTTATAGTTTACTTTTACTTTAACTGTCGTTATAACAGTATATACGTGGATTGATTTACCCTTGCTAGACCCATTCTTTCAATGATATTATTAAGTATTCTTTGAGTTCATTCTTTTACCTTTTCAGGGATATAAAGTACATTCTCTAAAGATATTTTGTTGATTTTATATGAATTTTACAAGTAAACCCCACAAAGAGTTGGAATTAGTTTAAGTGGTCTAACGTTTAGGGAAACTAGACTCCCTAAACTTTCGATAAAACTAGACCTCATATAATTCGTACACTATGTTGAAGTCATAGTGAATTAATTCAAACACATGACTAGTTTTGTTACAAGATAAAGAGAAAGGTAAATGATAATGTTTTCCTAGTTGACAAGCATGACACAAAGATATATTTTGACTAGTTGACAAGCATGACACAAAGATATATTTTGACTAGTTGACAAGCATGACACAAAGATATATAGATATATTTTGACTGAACTGGGAGTTGATATTAGTAAGTGCAAAAACCAATTAACTGGTAATAGGATTTGAACTCATGGAGGTAGAAGAGGTTGTTGGTGTGGTCATCGAGAACCAGAAAAAAATCCAAAAAATAAATTTAAAAGAGACAGAAAATAATAGGCTAGAAGCTAATCTTGGGAGAAAGAACGTAATGCACCCGTAGTATCTTCGGGAACAACAAAAGACCGACGAGACAAGCAACGATGTGAGGAAGCAGTCGGCGAAACAAGAATCGATCGACCTAGGGAAAATGGTATCAACGTGATACTGAGAAAAGAGATCGGAAAAAAATAAAAAATAAAAAACAAAATGAAGGAATTGAGTTTTTTATTTATAGTATGCTCACAAGTTATTGGCTTGATACCATGATAGATATTGTGGAAAACCAATTGATTAGGGTTGCACGTATAGATATCAATATATAATGTTACATATTAAAAAAAACCCCTATACTATATTATAAAAGAGTATAAAACAATATAAAACTATCTAACGGTGTTCTTTGAACAAAATGTGAACAAAATATACAGTGTAATGGCTATACCTGGATAAAAGTTAAGTTGGTTGGTAATATTTATACAACAAAAAGTTCATTGATGTTTTTTACATAATTATAATACTTTGTTACTCGTATCATTATTCTAATAAATAAATAGTTTTAATCTTCTTTTGTCAAGTGTCACTCTAATACAACTATTCATTAATATTATGTCATGTGTCATATATATATATATATATATATATATATATTAGACAACTCATTTCAAAATTCAAATTTACATTTTCTAATTATATGTTAGATTTGAAGTTATAAAAACTTTAAAAATTTGATATACCTCTTAATTAATAATTTATTTAAAATGATTTATTTAAAATAATTGATTAATAATTATAAATTTTAATTATAACCGTAGTTCTCATGGGTTATAAACTAGTTTTCTTTAATACGTTTGATTGTGAAATAAAAAGGATTCAACTTCGTTATAGTTCTTCAAATTTGTTTGATTTATTTTACCATTTTTAAATACGGGTAAAAAGAGCTCAAGTCCACATATTTCGCTATTAAACTAAAAATAATCTGTGTTTGAAAAAAAAACGCCTCAATTACACATGTCTACAACAAATAATAAAATCTAAACAATATATAAACATTATTTACTTTTAATATTGAATTTTATTTCATATTTTATCAACCAAAAACGTGACAAAAGATTATACTTTGTATTCTAATTTTTATATAGATCTGAAGGGGAAAAATCACAAAGTAAAAGAATTATATTCATTCAAAAATTGTCTCTTTTCCATTTTCAGACAAAATAAATAGAATGGTGAAAATTTATATTTATATATTATATTATACATATTAAACTTGGACAATTCTTAGGAACAGTACCTAACCGGGGTCTAACCAAGGTACTGTTCCTCCGGTTACTCTCCTCTATATCATGGTTGCCGCTTCCGGATCCTTCCCACCGCCTCTCTTATCACCGTTCTTATTCCTTATCTATTCAACTGCAACTAATCTTTCTCTTCGAACCCAAACTCAAACAACCGTTCATCGGCTTCTTCTTCTCCGCATCTGTTGCCGCCATCTTTGGTTGACTCCCATATCCGACTGAGACGTACTCTGGCTTATTCTTCTTCACCGTTTTGCTTATTCCTCCACCGCCTCATCTAATACTCCTTTATTCCATTTTGAGGCCGCCTCTCCCTTCTTCCGTTTCCGGTTCAGATCAGACATGTTTCCGATTTTTCTTTTTTAGCGACTTCGTTTCTTTATTTCTCGGCATGTACAAGTCGATCCTTCATCTAGGTATGGTTTCTATTTTGGGTTTATTGTGATTTTAATTATAGCTATTAAATCTGGCAGCGGAAGTGGTTTTCAGCCAGCTCCAATACCGACTGGTTTTGAACGAGCTCCGTGTATCCGTTCTCGCATCTGGAATCAGTTCAGGTAAAGGGCTTCAATTTCTAATTTCCTTTTTTCCTACGCACCGACGTTCCTATTTAGTTTTAATTTCATTTGATTTTTAGATAATCAGATGAAGGAGAGCATATCGCGTTCGGTTTTGGTGCATAGGTGTTGGTCCAATTCGTTTCTATTTTCCCTCCATTAATGTTGAAACTTAAAATTTCATATGCTTTTTTTCCTCATTCAATTTGATTACGCCCGACATTGATTCTATTTCAAATCTTCGTTTTTCAGTGATTTTACCCTTCGTGGCGAAAAGAGGAGCGCTTCAATGCATCTGATGCTGATGGAGATGGTTTGTTGAATGTAACTGACTTCAATGAGAGTAAGTTATTAAAGGTATAAAAATTTATATATGGTTTTCTTTTTACACTTCCATCTTCTCCTTCTCCTAAAATTTGAGGCTTTTTTGTGATATTTAGCTTTCAGCACCCTGCAGAGACTCGTAATCCAAGACTGATTCAAAGTAAGTTCAAGGAGTTCTTCCATGAACTATTTAACCTTGTAAGAAAATATGGTGAAGATAGTCATAATTATTCACATGAATCTACTGATTCATTGGAATCCCCTACAAAGAAGTGTTCTGCTTTATAATTTTTTTTAATGATTTGGGAGTTGCTAATATCTTATGGATTGACTTCTCACACAACTGGTTTTAAATTTTTTAATGAGGCTGAGTTTTGATATTGTAGCTACTTGTATGATGTGGAACTTCTATCTGTCATCGGGAAGCTTCACTCTTCAGATTGTTATAATGCCAAACAATAGATAGGTTATATTATATCACAGGTAAGCATGGTTGATTTTGATGTCTTCTTATAGCTTTGGCCTTGAAATTGTAGTAATTCAGTAGATACAATCATGTAGATTGACTTCTTTGTCTGAATAGTCAATGACTTTTTCAGATTTGAGCAAATTGATTGAGGGTTTGTAAGTTGACTAGATAACATGCGTAATAAGCATCAGAAAACCTACATATCTTTTACTTCACCTTCTTCCGTATCTACTGCTGATTCCTTTGATTCTCCTTTTTAGGGATTTAGAAAGGCTGGTGAAAGTGGATTTACAAAAATCACAGGTAACTATTGTTTAGTTCCCAATTTACACAAAGTATTAATCATTAAAGAAAGGTTCTTTTTTTGCAGAATGAATTGGCAACTTCGGACCAGCAAAAGTCAGATGATAAGATGTTGAAGTTGGTATATGATCAAAAGGTTCATTTAATTCTTCTTTTTAAGTCTTGAGTTCTATGATTTGGGTTCTGCTTTTGGTATCGATTTGAACATCTATTAACACATATTTTGGCATGCCATAAGGATGAAGTGTATTTTAGGGGCATTAAGTTTTTTTCTTGAATTCTAAGATTCTAAGATATGACCTTTTGGAAAAAAAGAAAATAAAAGTTTAATCTGTTTTCAAATGGTACCTCAGATACAGATAAGAAACGGTCCCTCTCTGTGTATTGTTGCACCTTCTCCTGTGGTTGCCCAGTAAAGGCAACATACATCATGTAAATTTTCTGCAAAATAAAAAGGAAAAAAGGTATAAATAACATTTATATTGATTATTAGACAAACAGAAAATGAAAATTCAACTGGGAAAAGCTTCATTGACTTGGCGCCTTACACCCTCAACATGACCCTGCAAGAAACAAACTAAGAATTGAACTTTTGTTTTTATTTATTTCATAAATATAATGAGGGTATTTTAGTCTTTTAACAAAAGAAAGGAAGAACAGAATTGGATTCCCACCCTCCTTTAGGAACATGGAATTTGAAGGATTCCAGGAAATGAATTCTGTCTAAACAAACCTTGGAAACGAATCTCAAATTCCAATTCCACATGCATAAAGAACGAAAACAACATTTGTTCTTAGAAATTACAAAAGAAAAAAAGGAGGCATACCCCACATCCACTTTGTGGTTGATGTATCATAATACGGGCATTTGACATTTCATATCTCATGCCCTTTTCCCCACCAGCAAGAAGAAGTGCTCCGAAAATTATGAGGGGGGCTTTCTGTTTGATTTGGCTGGAATTGGAATTTAATTCCATTCCAGTGTTACAGGGCTTGCCATGTCTAAGGTACATTTATTTTATTTAGCATTTGTAGATTTAGGTTTTTTTTTTTTTTTTTTTTTTTTTTAATTTTTTATTGTTATTTATATTCATTTCTTTACAATTAATATATGCAATCTGTGAAGATAATAGTGCATCAAGATTTGGTGCATGATAGTTTTAGCACCATTGTTATTAAATTCATTAATGAGAATGAGACCAATGAAGAATTATGTCGATGACATAAAACAAAATTGGTGTTGACTTTACTTCCACTATACAAGTGCTCTTTTTAGTGTTGCTTCGATAAGAAGCATTTTAAATTTCTTCAGTTTACATTTTAATCATTAAATTTAAAAAATTCCTTTAATATAGAATCTATTTATGGTATTGTATGGATTTGTTTATTCATGGACACAATCACATACCGAAATCGTACTAAACAAGTTTATTCTCCTTCTGATACAACTGGATTGCAGGTTTGTTTTTTCTATTTGTCATACTTAATTATATACAATTTTATCTTTGGAGCTGTCTAAGTCCATCCCCGCAAAGTGGGGTTATCAAACAATTTTTAATCTTATATCCTTTTAAAACATGATTGGTCAATATTTTCCATGTTTTAGAGATCCGTAGCATCATCAAACAGAAGACCTGCAATTCTTCCTAATGACGAATACGAAATATATTGCACCCCTTGAACTAATATTCCGTTTATTCACTTCAGATTTGATCGCTATATCAGTTGGCCTCAATTTCACTTCTACTTCATGAAAAAAAAAATACCTAAACTGTGAAAAAAAGATGAAATGATTAGATAACATCTTTTTCTATAAATGAATTATTATTTAAAGAGAGTTTGCTCAACCATTAAGTTGCCTCACATATCCCTTACAGCCAGGTTAGTTTCTTCCTCTATTTCTTTAATGTTTAAACTACAGAAACATATTATAAAAACTATTTTCTTTTTTACTTCACATCACATGACAGGTGAATGAAACCGAGTTCATCAAACATGCAACAAAGTTAAATCTCCAACTGTGTAGTGATGGATTAGTTCAAGAAGGAATGAAGTTATTTGAGAGTCGAATAATCCCTGAGGCTGTAACATACACCATGGCAATTGGGAAAGGGTTCCGCTGATGGGATTGTACCCCTATTTAATGCATTTAGTAATGGTATTTTGATCCACGGGATATGTATAACCCTTTTTCAATTTTTGTCCCTATAGAAACCAGCTCACGCTTTTGGCCCTTAATTGAGGTTTTCCTATCCTTGCATTGGGTTTTATTTTTATAAATTAAGTTTTTATTAAAAACTTGCATTTTAGGAGATTACACTTTTACAGCAAAGCGATGACGTCCCACAAATGTAATTCTTCTTATTCTTTTCTTTTGATCTTTTCTTAAAGCCATTGCTTTTTAATCTTGTATTTTTATAAAACATGATTGGTCAATATTCTTATAGCAAAGCGATGACGTCCCACAAATGTAATCCTTCATATTCATAAGAAGCACCAGATGCCAAAAACGATCATATCTGTATAGATCCATCCCGGGCTCCTCATCTAGTTAACAAAATAAATACAATTTTCTTATCGCAATAGAATAAACAATTTGATTCATTTTCTAATTCTATCATACCATTTCGTTTGCATCTGCCTTTGTTACACACGACAAGAGTGAATCAGACATGGATTATACAATTTTTCTAAGAGTATTTCCGATGATCTAAATAAGTCAATGACGTAAATAAGTCATGCATGGAGTCTCTTCTTTTTATAGCCGCATACAAGTCCCTCGACACCTTATTCCAACAACCATTTTACATTTTTAACCCTCGTACTCCCCTTCGCCTTCCTCCTCCTCCTCCACCATCGCATCCTGATACTGCTGATACTCCGCCACCAAATCATTCATATTACTCTCCCGCCTCCGTAAACTCCATCTCATCCATCCCTTCCCCCGTATACCAATGCAAAAACGCCTTCCTCCTAAACATAACCGTAAACTGCTCGCTCACTCGTCTAAACATTCTCTTGAATCGAAGTCGAATTCCCGATAAAAGTCGACGCCATTGAAAGCCCCCCGTTGGAGGGATATCACAAACGCTCGATTTCACATTATTCGGTATCCATTCAACGAAATAAGACGAGTTTTTGTTTTGGATGTTTATCATTTGTTCATCGACTTCTTTCGTGCTCATTTTGCCACGAAACATAGCAGACGCGGTTAGGTATCGCCCGTGGCGAGGGTCCGCGGCACACATCATGTTCTTCGCTTCCCACATTTGTTGTGTGAGTTCGGGGACGGTTAGGGAAATGTATTGTTGGGACCCACGGGAGGTTAGAGGGGCGAAACCGACCATGAAGAAGTGCAGGTGGGGGAAGGGGATTAGGTTGACTGCCAGTTTTCGGAGGTCGGAGTTGAGTTGACCGGGGAAACGAAGGCAACATGTTACGCCGCTCATGGTTGCGGAGATTAAGTGGTTTAGGTCGCCGACTGCAGGTGGAAAAAAATGAAAACGTATTAAATGCAAGAAATAGCAATGTACTTTACTTTCATTTATTCCTATTGAAACTAGTTTAAAAAATCTACCCAACTAGCAATAGGGTCCAAATACGACGCACTTTTCATTGATTTGAATGAGTAGATTTTTATAATGTAAAATGTTTTAGTTAAAAAAAAAAAACAAGAATGTTTTAATAGTCGTAGAAGATATAAAGTATGATGCTATAATACACAAATAAATGAAACTACATAGCTATTTCTTGCATTGCTTTATTAATGTTCAAGGCAAGAAATATCGAATTCATTGATTTGTTTAATATAGGATCTTAATTTCATTTTTTTTGTTATTGCGACATTGTTTTTCAAAAACTCTACCTAATTATAGCAATATCATCTGAATACAAGACAATCTTCATCGCTATAGTTGGGATAAATTTTTCAAAATATAATCTTTTTTAATATAACTTCATTTTTAAAAGTGCAATGCTATAATTGGTAGAATTTTCAAAATACAATACCTTAGACAAAAATTAGTACTACTAACATAAAAAGATAAAAGTACCATGTTATAAGACACAAATAAATGGAAGCAAAACGCTATTTCTTGTTTTTAACACTTTTAGTGTTAAACAGATGAAATAGCAATGTAACTTTCATTGATTTGTTTATTATAGCATTCTACTTTGATTTCTTCCTCCTACCACATTTTACTTTGATAGTCTACCTAATTAAATTTAAAGCATTATCACCTAGAAGATTTTTCAAAGTAGAATGTCTCACTAATAAAAAAATTTAAACTACGATGTCCTATAGAAAGAAATAAAAGTATAATGATATAATACCCAATATAATTGAAATTACTTTTTCATTTCTTGCATTGAAAGTTAGTTTTATACTTTTATTGTACGGATCTTAAAATTTGAGATTGTTGAAAGGAAAGAATACTCACAACTTGGAGTGGTGAGCTTTAGGGTTCTGAAACAGATGTCATAAAGGGCTTCATTGTCAAGAACCATACATTCATCAGCATTTTCAACCAGCTGATGAACAGAGAGTGTAGCATTGTAGGGCTCAACAACAGTATCCGAGACTTTTGGCGATGGAAAAACAGAAAATGTAAGCAACATTCTATCTGGGTATTCCTCTCTTATCTTTGAAATCAATAGTGTCCCCATTCCAGACCCTGTTCCTCCTCCAAGTGAATGGCAAACCTGAAACCCTATCATGTATAAGATTACGAATCAGATTACTACAACATATGAAATTGAAAAGATGAAGTTCGTAGATGATTGAGATTCTGTAATTGATGTGAAGTTTATGTATACCTTGTAATAAATCACAATTCTCAGCCTCCTTACGAACAACATCAAGAACAGAATCGATCAACTCAGCCCCTTCAGTGTAATGCCCCTTCGCCCAATTATTTCCGGCACCGGATTGCCCAAACACAAAGTTATCAGGTCTAAAGATCTGGCCATAAGGACCAGATCTAATGCTATCCATAGTACCAGGTTCGAGATCCATGAGTATAGAACGAGGAACGTATCTGCCACCGGATGCCTCGTTGTAATAAACATTGATTCGTTCAAGTTGGAGTTCGGGTGTTGATCCGGTGTAACGGCCGGTTGAATCGATTCCGTGTTCATTGCAGATGACTTCCCAGAACTTGGAACCAATTGGTTGCCGCATTGTCCCCCTTGGATGTGCAAGATCTCTCTCATTTTCGTTGAATTGTTTGGAATTTAGGGGAGATGAGAGGATCTGCGATTTGATTTGGGGACGACGAAGGGGTGACTGGAATGGAGGAGCGATGTGGATTCTAGAGATGAGAGAAATGGTGGGAGAGATTAATACAGGGAGAGAGTGGTTGGACTTGTTTTTACTCCTAGATTTAGAAAGCATGTGGGGTTTCGTTCCTTACAATCATCGTTGACCTCGGTTTTGTTTCTTTTGTTGATCTCAAAGGTACGACAAAATAAAAAGAAATTGATACAAAAGTGGATGATGAATTGATGATACATGAATGATGAAATTAAGAATAAGTTGTAGAGTGTAAATTGCTTGTAGTAGTAACCAATTTTTTTCTGTCTATTTTGTTTTAGATGATGATTATTTTATAAGAACAATTAATTACTAAAACTTGTTAACATATACTGCAAATAATAAAACCTTGAGTCTCATCCCGTTATATAAAACGAGAAAGAAAATAAAAAGGACAAAAACGTATATTCGCCGTATATGATCTTTTGAATATTAAACATACTCCGTCAAATAAATATCTGAATATACAAATAATCAAATAAACTAAATACATGTATGAACAATAAAGCTATAAATAAATAAGATTGAGGGTAAACATAGGCAGTGTGCACAATGTACGAAAACATATAACAGAAAATACTAGCAATGAATCATCCAAAATAAATAAAGACACAAGTCATACTCAGATGACTACTTATATATTTATATACTACTCAACTATCTTAATTTTATGTTTTCCACATTCGGCCCGGTTATAAGCAAGGCCACGTGGGCATATGAACATGGCCCACATTTTTAAGGGGCCTGAGTTTTTTTATACTATATTCAACCGGCCCAAATGTGAAGGTGTATTCCACACACAAAGGCAGCAGAAGATCAGTGAGGGTTGATTAATCGATAACGGAAATCACTCGATCATTCGATCATCCGCTCTGAAGCCAAGTAAAGAGGACGAGGAGAAGCAGAATTATTATGTGAACACTGGACATGAGATTCAGACGTTCGAGACGAGTTCCCAGAGTTGTTTTTATAGAGACTCGGTTTTGATATATACAGGTAAGATACTATGATTCAGTTTTAATATATTTTTGCTAGGTTTTGAGTTCGTTTTTTTGTCGTGAATCTACTTGAGTATGATTCTGTGAGCAAATAATAGAACCCATGCTGAATTTTGGTAAACAACTAGCCCTAATTCGATACAAATTAAAGCGAGTTTTCAAAAGTTCCATTTAAATCTTTCTAGTTTCAATCTTGCGATGGTTAGGACCATACAGTTAATGAAGGCATTAGCCATTAGGTATTAAGGATTACACTCTTGTAGTTTTCTAAGATATTTCATGGATTGGAAATGGAATTGATGTTTTTTTGTTCAATTTGAAACTAATTTCCTGTCATTTCTCCAAAAAATTTGTAAATGGCATGTGAGGTGTGCAGATGACTATTTTGTATTGTCTACATATGCATCATCTTGTGCCTATCAGGTGTAATTATGTCTTCCATGTAAGGTGAGCTATTTTCATATTTCCACGAAGAAAAAACAAGTTCTAATTGATAACTACTTCAAGTTAATTGTGAGCAAGAACACACGTAACAGTGGAGGATCAATCAATTTGCTATCAAGAAAGCTAGGAGAGCTTCACGGGTCTTCGGTTACACGTTAGGGCGTAAGGGCCTTTTTTTCGGTTCGTCCTGGGCATTTAAATCCTCAGGACCAGCCCTGTCCACATTATCCTATATGAGGTCATCTCCTCTGAAACAGTCAACTCCTTTAAGTCTAACATCATAATATATGCAGACTTCTTTCTCGGGTGTCATTTACTCATCATACCATTCACAATAATCATCTTCACCCCTCTAATTTGTGGCATTGGGTGGTCTCCTACAAAGACACAAGTCATACTCAAAGGACTACTTATATACTACCCAACTATCTTAATTTTATGCCTCCACATTATCCTATATGAGGTCAAGTCCTTTGAAACAGTCAACTCCTTTAAGTCTAACATCATAATACATGCAGACTTCTTTCTAAGGTGTCATTTACTCATCATACCGTTCACAATAATCATCTCCACCCTTCTAATTTGTGGCACTGGGTGGTCTTTTGCAACCGGCCAAACCACCGTAATCTTCATTCCCAAACTTTTCTCAATGATCGACGTCATTCATGACGAATTTCTAATCTTTGTGTTCAAAATCATATGTGGCAAGGTTCTATTAGGAGTCCACCACAATATCCTCATTTACACGGTCTCCATCTTCCTCTCATCCTCCTTCTTGGTTGGCCAACATTTCAAATTTATATAACATAAATGGCCCCACAGCCAAGGCTATATATTTTTCCCTTATGGGGCTTCTTTTTACACAAAACTATATATGGTTGTTATCCATTTAAACCATATCACATTTATATGTTGGGTGATATCATGGTCAACACCACCATCCTTATGTATAATGGAACCCATGTACTTGAAGCTCTTTTTTGGTTGTAGGACTAGGTCACTAATAAATATATATACTTGTTCGTACTTTTTCTCCCCGCTAAAAATGCACCTACTACTAGAAAACAGATCTTTAATGACACGCAAACTATGATATTGTAACATCCTGAGATTTGGCAGGTATTTCCGAATCCTCTCTTCTATTATTTAATTGTCATTTGTAGTCCCTGGGGTTGGAAGAGTCGAGCCATGTGAAGCCTAAGGGCTAAAGTTGCAACTTTGGGATCAGGAAAAGTACGCTAAGCGTACATAAGGTATGCTGAGTGTACTAGGCACGCCCTAGTATGTTGGGCGTACACTTGTGTACGCTAAGCATACTCACGTCAGATGGAAACCCTAATATTTATGGTTTGGGTGCTATATAAACGACCTTATGAGCTCAAAACCCTTCATTATTTCAGCCTCCATAACTTTGAGCCGTTTTCCCCAAACCCTAACCCTTGAGCTAAAAGTGTGTGTTTTGAGTAGTTGGAGAACAAAGTGTTGCATCAAGAAGTTGGAGAAGGAAGACAAGATTGTAGATCTGAGGTTTCTTTGTGCTCTAGAAGCTCCAGGAGGTAAAAAGCTCCAACCTTTAAGCTTGTATGATGTAGATATTGCCATGCTAGCTTTATGAAACCATTTCATATCCCAAAAGTCCCAAGTTGGTGCATGTTATGTTTTGAAGGAGATAAGTTGTCCTTTCAGACCCTAAAAAGGGTCTTAAGTGATAAAAATGATGTCCCAATGGCTGAAAGTGTCCCATGCATGTAGTAGAAAGGTCTTAATGGGTTAAGACCATGTATTAGGAACTTTCTGGACGTCCAAAGTCTTAAATTTCAAGACTTTATGGTTCTAAGGCACATTTGGTCGATGGATTTGGAGTTTGGGCTTAAGTGCTTAAGCCATTAAGCACTTATTAGGGTTTTGGTGAAACCTTGTGTACGCCCCGCGTAATTTCTGTACGCCCAGCATACTCAGTCAACCACCCCGATGGTGGTTAACGCAAAACAGAAGTATGCCCAGCGTACCAGAGGAGTACGCCCCGCGTACGCCCTCTGTTGGGCTTTTGACGATTTGGGCTTCGGTATTGGACGCCTTTTTGGTTCAGTTTGACATGGGCCTTGCTGGGCTTTCTGAATAAATGTGTTTTGGGCCATTAGTGGTAATAGATCTTAAAATGAGGCCCGATTTGGGAGTTGGGGCCCAATTTGGAAAATTGGGCCAATAATGGGCCTTATGTATATGGACTTTTGGATAGTGAATTTGATATTGGGCCTTGGCCCAAATTAGAGAAAATGCAAAATGGACTTTGTGGACCCTTAGTCAAGATTGATATCCCATGTGTTGACTTAGTATTCGTTATTTTGGATAGTTCGGGATTTTCGGATACAACGGTCGGAGACTTTCAGTCCAGTTCAGCATTACTTGTGAGGTGAATTGTCCTCACTATACTAACAGGGTTGAAGGCACCAATGTCGGCCCTTTTCGGATTTGTATTCGTGTTTATTGCATGTTGATATGTTAGTGACCTGTTAGGTCGGTATCCTGGTATATAGGATGATGCTATGCTAGTGACCTGTTAGGTCGGTATCCTGGTAAATAGGATGATGCTATGTTAGTGACATGTTAGGTCGGTATCCTGGTATATGGGATGATGATATGATTAGTGATCTGTTAGATCGGTTTGACTGTTATATATGCTAGCGTATGATATTTATGTGCACATGATTGTTTGATTTGGGGGTTAGGTTGATGCAGACCTGCTTTGTGCTGAAGGCCAACATACCCAGGCGGACCGCATAGACTGCAAGCCCGGTAGGGCATACTAGTCACGCCGAAGACCCTGTGAGCGGTCCGGATAGGCTGAAGGCCCTGAGAGGCAGTCCAGACGTGCCGATGGCTAGGAGAGCGGTCCAAATAGACTGATGGCCCTGCGAGGCGGTCCAGTCAGGCTGATGGCTCATTATGCATGTTGTATATTTATATGATATTGATATGGTTTGTATGGCGTTGGTATTTTGGGAAAACTCACTAAGCTTCGGGCTTACAGTTGTTGGTTTTGTTTCAGGTACTTCTGATGATCGCGGGAAAGCGAAGGCGTGATCGTGCACGTCCTTATATTTTTATGATTTGATTATGGGATACTCTGACATGAAACCATTTTGAAAACAAAATTGTAATAATTATTGGTTTTTGAATAATTTAAAAAGTTTTAAATTGGCATTGGTATCAGAGCCTTGGTTTGAGTGAATTGGAGGAAACACTCGTGTGTCTCCAGTCTCAAACTAAGGACAAGATTTTTAAATGATTTTCAAAATACTGAAGGAGGATGCAAGTGTACGATCAGCCAGAGCTAGTAAGTAGACCCCAAAATACCTTATGGATTATTTGATTTTGTGATATGTTAGAACAACATGCTTGTAACATCCCAAAATTCAAGACCAAAAATTTCATTTTAATAAGTTCTATAAAACCCAACAGTATAGGAAACATCCATAATCACTCCCATGTCAAACCAAAGTGCCAATAATCAAAACATGATATCATAAAACAATATCATAGTGTAATCCCAAAGATCTCATGTGCGGAAAACATAGCGTGATGCGCTGCGATCGAGTATGCTCCTTTCCTTTGAAAACGAAGTACCTGAAACCAAAACTGAAAACCGT